TTTCAGTCGCAAATGCACCTGAAATGGTCGCACTGTAGAGCCCTGACCCAGTGAGAGAACTTTTTTATTCAGTTAACTGTTTTGAAGATATTTTGAACAGAGTTAAGCCAAATACAGGTTTTTAGCGAAAATAAATTTTAAAAACCTGATATAATTTAGCCATTATTTTTTCTTGCCATGAAAATAGCCACAGAAGCTGGCATAGCGTTAAACACAAACAAACAAACAAACATATCAACTTTTTAATGTTTGTACTCCAATTTATTGTTAAATATAAACATTTAAACTGTAGTTGTAATAAAAACTTGTTTTCATGACAGATTTATTTAAACATTAAATAATACATTAAATAATAAAGAAAACAGGTTAAGTCAAAATATAATCAATATGTAATATAGTGTATCTTTTTAACAAAATGCTTTAGACTGGTTGTTTTTCTAGCTGACTAACAAAGCTATAAGAACATTGAATGGCTTTCCTGAAGTAAATGTAACATTGTGACATTGTTTACCAGCTTTTTAAATAAACATCTTTCTGCAGCTGAAACACTGATTAAGCGATTACATGGGATATGATACATTTCAGTAATTCGTACTGTTTATTTCAAACATTTTGGAATATTTATATTAAATCAGAGTCAGGATAGGTACTAGAAAATTTGATGATTCAAAATTGTTTGTTTAATGTGTACTAGTTCAAAGTCAGATCAAATACTACTTAGTTTAGTGCTAGCAAGTTAGTTCTTGGGCTTGCAGGTTTACTACTTCAAGGTCATTTCTTGTGCTAGTATGAGTACTAGTTCAAAGTCAGAACCAGTAATAGAATATAGGGCCTTTCGCACTGCTCTAGTTCCAGAACTAAATGGACAGTACTAAAGTACTGGGACGATTTTGCGCGAACTATTTCCCAGTACCATTTAAAGGGTTGCATTCGCACCGACAGTGTGTACTAGGCACCGGTCGACAGCGACGTCATTTGTGCGCGGCGTTCAACAACGAAAACAAAGAAAAACAACATTAACAACAGGAGGATGGAGGACGCTGTACTATGAAAAGGTTCCTGCGGTGCGAAAGGCCCTATTGTGAAGTCAGAACTAGTACCAGAACTACTGCACAGCCAGATTTAGCCTTAGTATGAGTACTAGTTTAAATTAAGAGCTTGCAATGTTTAAATCTAGTACTAATATGAGTATTAGTTCAAATTCAGTACTGAGTATGAGAGGTAAAATCAGGATTGGTACTAGAATATGTGATGTTTCAAAACCAGTTTTGTAGGCATACTAATTCAGATAGTGTGAGTACTAGTTCAAAGTCAGGACTAGTACTAAAATGAGCACTAGGATTAGTGCAGAGCCCGATCTAATGCTAGATCTTGCAATGTGTAAGTCCAGTACTAGTTCAAAGTCTTAGTATTAGTGCTAGAATGAGTACTAATTTAAAGTCTATTCTAGAGCAAAGATAGTACTTGAGTTACTATAAAAACAGTACTAGTTCAAATACACTATTAGTTTTAGTATCTAGTATGTAGTACTAGTTCAAAGTCTTAATATTATTATGTCTTAAAGTATATATATTATGGCCAGAATGAGTACAGATTTCAAATCTGTTCTAGATCAAAGATAGTGTTAGTTTAAAGTCATTCTAGTATGCGTTCTAGCTCAGCTCAGTACTAGTCTGTGTAGCTACCCAGGTGAAAAAGAAATATATTTAAATTGTGCTTTTTCAGACATACTTACTATATTTAAAATATACTATACTAAGTGCATATTAAATGTATTTAATATTTCACACACACACACAAAAAAGCAAATGATGATTTATGATTTGTTTTCTTTTTAAGAATGACAGTACGCTAAGAACAATGTACCTGGTCGGTAACATAGTCAAAAACCTTCCCAGCCTCAGCAGTTTCAGATGTACTGTATGCTCTCATATAAGCAACCCTGCACTTCAAATAAGCATGTTGGGAATACAAATGTATTATAAACATACTACTTGAATTTCAAGTATATTTTTAATACATTTAATACTATGTCTTTTTCACCTGGTTAGTATGAGTACAAGTTCCTTATCAGTATTTATAACTAGTATGACACTGGTTTAAAGTGTTATTTGAAGTCAGTACTAATAATTGTATGTGTAGTAGTTCAAAGTTTTACTTGTCACATGGATCTGGACCAATAGCAGCAAGGTGTTTCACATGTTGGGCCAAGGTTTCCCACTTGGGAGGAGATCATGCCTAGTGTTCTGGTGCAATGTGTGCTTTCAGCAGATATTTCTCATACATGTTAAAACTAGTCCACACACCACAGTACTTCTTTCAACTAGATTCCAACTGGAGTGTGTAGTCACAACCGTTACCTCAATATAGCCATTCCTCAGCATGAGGCATCGCAGCTCAGACACCCTGACCGACTGCGCGCTAAATACCTCGCTGAATCATTCCAGCTTCATTTAAGCTCATTGATTTTCTTTAGCACTCTTTCTTCATGGCCCAGTTGTATTTGTGCTTTTGAATACTGTCCCTCAGAGGGAGGCTTGTTTATGTGATATGGGATGGATTTGATTGTTTTAGGCCCCCGGGGACGAGAGGACTTGGATGAGATCTGTAGATCTAGCTCGGCCGTCCGCAGCTTTTGCTCCACGTCAGTTTAAAGGCATAATCCTTCATTTCAGCAACACCACTATACTTTGATAAATTCAGGGATGGAGCTTTGATAACGTTATCACACGCAATATTCATAAGGACTGCCATGAAAGACCTGCTGTGTTTCAGATCAAGAAAATGGTTGTAAACATATCTTAAACGTCTGGTGACAGAACATTTTTAAAAGGAAGCCGAGCTTTTGTGCACAGAAAATTGCATGGATTGAGTAATCAAGGAACTGAGGCCCCACAGGGATGCTATATTAATGAAATTGCGGATTTTGTAGAATTTAAGGATAATCTAAATCCTGGAAATGTATTCTGTGCACATCCATGTTCAGTTTCATTAAAGGAGTAGTTCACGCAAAAATGAACATTTGCTGGAAATTGACTCGCTCTCAGGCCATCCAAGATGTAGATGAGTTTGCTTCTTCCTCTGAACAGATTTGGAGAAATTTAACATTAGTAATTTAGCATTTACATCACTTGCTCATCATTGGATCCTCTGCAGTGAATGGGTGCCGTCAGAATGAGAGTCCAAACAGTTGATAAAAACATAAGTCGACATGACTCCAGCCCATCAATTAATGTCTTGTGAAGTGAAAAGCTGTATGCTTATAAGAAAAAATCTATCATAAGGATGTTTTTAACAACAAAGAGTTATTATGGATTATGGATGACCAAAAGCGATGGTTTAAAGTTAAGAACATCTTAATGGAGAATGAACATTGATTTGTTTCTCACAAACACGCAGCTTTTCGCTTCACAAGATGTTAATTGATGAACTGGAGTCATGTGGATTACTTGTGGATTATTGTGACGTGTTTATCAGCTGTTTGGACTCTCATTCTGACGGCACCCATTCACTGCAGAGGATCCATTGGTGAGCAAGTGATGTAATGCTAAATTACTCAAAATCTGTTCCAATGATGAAATAAACTCATCTACATCTGGGATGGCCTGAGTGTGAGCACAGTTTCACTAAATTTTCTTTTTTTGATGAACTATTCCTTTAAGTATTAACTCTGTTGAGGTTATCATAACATTCCTTTGGAGAAATGAAAATAGAACCTGAAAATGATTCTGTTGTTGATTCATAGGAATATTATATATACTGAATATGGATAGTATAACTGATTTGGAAGAATATGATGAGAAATGTTTGAGTTCATATTGACCTTGGTATTTTGTCAAGGAGTTTGAAATCTTTTCTGAATCCCTAGATGTTTGTGAGAAAATAAGGGTATTATTTCAGTAGAAACATCTGAGACGCAAAAATCTGGTCTCCATTTGATCTAATTTGTCATTATTCTTTCCTGGTGTGCAGACAAGACGCAACCATCTTCTGATTGTCTCATTGACCTGGTTTTGTTCCCATCACCCTCTGACCGCTGGTTGATCTGCATCTGAAGCGCAGGAGCAGCAGTGGTTTATGGAATTTTACATGGATCTACAGAGCAAACAAGGGAACTGAAAGAGAGAGCCTCAGTGCATACACATGTCTGATGTAGCTCTCTTTGAGTTGTTTGATGGTTTTGGTTCTACGACGTGAAGATAATGAAGTGTGCAGTGAATCAAGGCTGAATCAAGGCCTGCAGGCTGCTTACTGAAACATGCATGACTTTGCCATAATCTCAAATCCACTTTCATACACAAATCCATATTTTATGTTGAATATAAATGTTGGGTGGTTTTTTTGTGATGCCTGTTGGATCTTAAAGGTTTGTAGTAGACTCTTTTATAAAAGTCCATTAAAAGAAAAAATGGGGTAATATGACAGACATTACAGTATATACACAATGTAATTTTTCTAATTTATTCCTCTTATTTTAACCATTTTTTTGTTGTTGTTAAAGAATATATAAATACCATGTTTGTTTGTTTTGTGCATTGGAGACTATGTGACATTGTCAAGAATATCTAAACAAACATAAAGAGCATTTACATTTTTGATGACCATTTTTTCTTTTTTCTTTTTGAAGAACCAGTTATGACCTTTGGCCTTTCAGCATGTTATGCAGTTGAAATAATTATGTAAATTATTACATTTTTCCTAAAAATTTGATGCATTTTATAAAATGTAGCCCCTCATATGTACGATTCTTTGATGCACTGCATGGTGGCAAAAAACAGTACAGCACTTTCCTAAACAATTGTTTGTGATTTGTGCATAAGTTGAAAATTAATTGTTGTAGTTTGATGTGCAATGTCAGTTCATATTGATTTTTTTTTTTTTTAACTGTTACTCCATCAATATTGAATTTAACATTTATTTCATGTTACAGTCTAAAATGACCCAAAGGGTTAAGGCAGAGTTGTTTTAAAAAAAAAACTTCTGTGTTTGTATGTTTATAGCCCGGATAGTGAAAAGTAAGCAGTGGTGTGAGATGTCCCCGTGTTCAGAGGGTGAGATCTGCGGACTTCTCTTCAATCGCTCCGGATGGACCTGCACCAAAGGCGGCGGCCGCATTAAAACCGTCACAGTGAGACACATTCTAAATATCTGTACAATTTAATTTATTCACTTAGTTGACGCAATGTTGCATCATTCACACCACCTGTGTTTCAGCTCACTGGATAACACGTTCTAATGACTTACATTAACTGACATTATTTCTTTATATAATGCTTAGCGGATCATTAGTTAATGAGCATTCATATACAGTAGATACTGTAGAAACATCATTAGGCATCTTAAATATTCATATATACATATTTTTATGTATTGTACATCAGCAGATGATCTGTTTAACAGTATGTAATGTTTGTTCATTATGTATTAATGAAAGTTATTATGCAAGGGTTAATGTAGAGTCAGTCTATCATTATTGCGAAATAAACCCTGACGGGGTGATCAGGACCGCAAAGCAACATGTAGGGGGTCTTATATCACCCTGAACGTGTTTATTTTGTGATAATTACCATCTGACTGTATGGTATTTTATGTAAATGGACATTAGAGTTCTAATTATTTTATTATGTGAGAAGAAAGACACCTCAGAGTGATGTGAGACATAAAACTAGCACAGCAAACTGGTTGCCTGGGATAACAGTCAATTATAGTTTAATGGTTCTTATGGTAAAATATTTGATAGTAGAATGCAGCGACTGACCAATCAGAATTAAGTATTCCAGGGAGCAGTGTACTAATAAGTAATACATCCTTTTTGGCACAGGTTAACTCCACCCATCATTGCTCAAATGTTTTACTTTTAGTTACTAATAGAATATGACTTCTATTTGCACTTTGTATGAATAGCATCTATAACTATTTGCATTTAGTGTAAATAAGATTCTATCTTGATGCAAATAGTATTTACCACTCTTTACACTCAGTGTATATAGCATATAGCTTTTTATGTACATTACCGTCAGTTAAAAATTTTGGGGTCAGTAACAGTTTTTTTCCACCTTTCTTTTTTAAACCTTTTTTGTCTTCATTTTTACCCAATTTTGTTAAATAATCGATCAATACCACATTAGCACTGGAGACTTCATGATATTTGTCAATAATTATCTACAAACATAAAGCACATTTTCAGTAAGTTTTTTTTTTGATGCATTAAATTGATTATTTAAAAAAAAACAGTAAAGATTTGAACGTTGTTACAATTTTTTTTCATATAAATGTTCTTCTTTTTAATTTTCTAGTCATGAAAGAATCCTGAAAAAAACAAATCATGGTTTCCACAAATATAATAAGCATAATAGTTTTCATCATTGATAATAATAAAAAATGTTACTTGAGCAGCAAATCAGCATATTAGAATGATTTCTGAATGATCACATGACACTGAAGACTGGAGTAATGATGCTGAAAATTCAGCTTTGCATCACTGGAATAAATGACATTTTACAATATATTCAATACATATTTTAATTTGTAATAATATTTCACAATAATAGTGTTTTTACTGTATTTTTGATCAAATAAATGCAGCCATGGTCTGCTAAAACCATAGACTGTATAAAAAAGATGGACGTAGTGTCCGTGACGTCACCCATAGTTTTCCGAAGAGCGTTTTTGAAGCCTAAAGTAGGCGGAGCCGGCCGTCGCCATCTTGGCAGCACGTCACCACGCGTCACTCCCGGATAATCTAAAATGGGCAAAGAGGCTGGATGCTGAAACCACGCCGACCTAGCTCGACGCCGGTGACAGCAGCGGCAATCCACCTGTCACTCAAGTGGCCACGCCTTTAATTTTGCAGAACTTTAAGGCTTAATATAATTTAAACGGATAAGTTATAAAAAAAAATTCACCCCCCTCACAGTTGTCATGAAGGGCAAAATTAGCTATATAGACCAAAATAATTTTTTGAACCAGGCTATAAACGTTTTTTTCTGCTGTAAAGTTGGCCATTTTAACATGGGGAGTCTATGGGATTGACTCCCTTTTGCAGCCAGCCTCTAGAGGCCAGTTGACGAATTACAGTTTAAGTCACTTCCGTGTTGGCTTCACGAGAGAGAGCGGGAGGTTGCCGCTTGGCTAAAATGCAAAAAAAAAAACATCTTACCGACCCCAAACATTTGAACTGTCATGATCATTTAGTGAAAATAGACAGTGCTTAAAAAGTATTACCAGGAATTTCAGAAGAAAGTTTGCCTATAACTGTTGAGCCAATCATCACAGTTTTATTTTGTGCCAATCGCCATGAATTAGAATTAGAATTTAGATTCAAATTGTAGTGAAAAAGTGTAGGAGACGAAATCACCTTTTTTTAACATTTCATCCTGACAGGCTCCTATTTGTGTGAGTGGCTGTACAGGAGATGCATTGAGCTCAGTGATGTGATTGTTTGTAATTCGTTGCCTACATCACAGGCATAAGTGCTGAGCTCAGGGGGTGTTTGGGCCGTGCTGACCCTGCAGGCTCCTGCCTCATAATGTCATAAAATGACAAAGAGCAATTATGCTGAATTAGAGGGTGTTTTCAGAAAGAAAAAAAAGGATATAGAGGAAACGAGGCTGCATATTAAACGAGTGCGGCTCTGCCCAGGTTAGAGGGGTTATGCCATTCAGCCAGAGTAGCTGAAATCATTCATGTGTTACAGAGGGCTTGAGTGTTCATGGCTTTGTGCATATTTATGACTTTATTTGCAACATTTACATGCATGCCTTTGCTTTTTATGTTTTTGCATGTTCATTTAATGTCAATGTGAAATCAAAATTGGCCCTATTTACTTTTATTGTGCAAGATTCATCAGTGCACATCAGGGTTATTATAGTTAACTAAAACCATAAAAAATAAAACCATTTTTGTGAAATAAAATAAACATTAACTTATTTTTTTCAACTAGTTGCCAAGACAGCATTCTTCATTTTAATATTGTTTAACTTGATGTATCAAAATAACAATGAAAGAATAAAATAAAAATTCATAAGACAATATATTAAATAGGAAAAACTATATACTAATCCTAATTACAAAAAAAAAAAAACCTGTCTCACATTTTTTTTCTGTAGAATATCTTATTTCACTTTTTATCACATTTTTATCATATGGGTTGCAAATGGCATTTCAAGTTGACTTTAGGGTTATCTTATATGTTTTTCTCAGGTATCTTCTTTCTTTCCTTCTCTTTTTATCTCTCTGTCTCTGGGCAACTTCCAAATTGCATTTTTTGCACATTTGAAGGGCACTGCGGAAAGAAGACACTCTTAGTGGGCCCTTCCACAAGGCCGTTAGAGAAGCTTACATGCAAAGGAAGTCGTTTTGTCATTTATGATCCCATGATCCTAAATTGCACAATTAATTTTAAAGTAATAAATCACCCAAAAAATTAAATTGGCTGAGAATGTACTCAACTCCAGGTCATCCAAGCTGTAGATGAGTTTGTTTCTTCATCAGAACAGATTTGGAGAAATTCAGCATTATACTGTATCACTTGCTCATCAGTGGATCCTCTGCAGTGAATGGGTGCCGTCAGAATGAGAGTCCAGATAAAATATCACAATAATCCACAAGTAATCAACACGACTCCAGTCCATCAATTAACCCTTAAAGGGATAGTTCACCCAAAAATTAAAATTTGATGTTTATCTGCTTACCCCCAGGGCATCCAAGATGTAGGTGACGTTGTTTCTTCAATAGAACACAAACGTAGATTTTTTACTCAAACCGTTGCAGTCTGTCAGTCATATAATAGAAGTGAATGGGAATCACGGCTTTGAGAGTCATAAAACATACACAAACAAAACCAAATTAAACCCTGCAGCTTGTGAAGATACATTGATGTGTAAAGACACAAAACGATCGGTCTGTGCAAGAAACTGAACAGTATTTATATTGTTTTTCACCTCTGATTTTCACCTCAAAGTCTGAACTGTCCTGAGCGCGTTCACGTCTTCTTCTTCAGCCTGCACGTGAGGCATCTTCTTCTTCTTCTTGCTTTACGGCGGATCACAGACTTATAAGTGCATTACCGCCACCTATCTCTCAAATGGACCATTGACACTCCTAATTGAGATTGTAGATAGAGTGTCACTGGAATATCCGTTTGTGTTCTCCTGAAGAAACAAAGTCACCTATATCTTGGATGTCCTGGGGGTAAGCAGATAAACATAACATTTTTATTTTTGGGTGAACTATCCCTTTAAAGACCTAGAACATTTTTGTGGCACCTGATGTGCCTGTACTTTTCTTTGTTTTTTTCAGACCTATTCTAGCAGTCAGCATCAAGTGCCATATATCATTATAAACAGGAGAATTTGAAGTTTCAGTCTAGTTAATTTAAAGTCGCAATTTTCTTTTTGTTTTCTCTAAAAATGTATGAATTTGCCAGAATTTTAAGAAAAACACATGCAACAATTGGGTGTTTTTTACTCTGTACTCAAACAGAAACTCCTGAAGTTTGGATTTTTTTTTTTCCTTTAGAAAGTTTTATTTGGGTGTTTTACACTTCCAAATAAAATTCTGTCTACATATAACATTTCCCAAGCAAGTTATAGCCATTTCTTACAATATTATTAAAGTGAAGTGAAAAGTGAAGTGACTAATGGCCAAGTATTGGTGACCCATACTCGGAATTTGTGCTCTGAATTTAACCCATCCAAGTGCACACCCACAGAGAGCGCTGGTTATTCACTCCCCCCACCTACAATCCCTGCCGGACCTGAGACTCTAACCCACAACCTTCGGGTTGCAAGTCTGACTCTTTAACCATTAGGCCACGACTGCTTGTCAGTGAAAAACATAGATGTGTCCAAAACGTTTAGGGAGTAAAATAAATGGAAACAGTGTTATATAATAACAAAACACGGAAGCAAAAGTGACTTTTTTCAAAGCAATATATTTTCAGTCTGAGTATGAACAACAAACGCAAACAGTGTAGCAAGTAGTGAAAACAATTGTGCAAATTGTCTTGTCCAACAAAAATACAAACAGTGCAAATGACTCACAAACTACACACAAAATGAGAGAGAAATATACCAAGTGCAACAGAACAAATAGTGCAAATAATCTTTACAAGCTATATAAGAATTA